TAAGATCAATTTCTCTTTCATGAGATTACTTCCTCTTTTTGGCCGGGTTTCGTTTCTCCGTGTCGTAAACTCTAGGGGCGAGGCTTCAAAACCGGGGTGTTTTTATGGGCGTGATATTCAAATGACTATTGTTTTCTGCCACCATTTATCAACATGCGATCATTCGTACGATGAGATTGACGGCATACGGATGTTTCATGAATCAGACGTGAACTCTGTCGTAAGTTGATTTGTGCGCACAGATCTGCGCTCGTTTCTACGTTAAGATTGATAAATGAGGCCCACTGAATTTAAAATGTAGATCAGCTCCTGCATTGACTTGCCTTATTTCTCTTGCACAGAGTACGGCACTGTCCTTGAGCTGAGAATCAACAGTGGTGGAAAGCTGCCTAACTTTGGATTCGTGGTATTTGATGATGCTGAGCCCGTGCAGAAGATCCTCAGCAATCGGGTATGCGTGACTTTCAGATGTTGTGCCGAACAGGATGTTTTGACTAATGCAGGATCATCAGAATTACCTTTTCTTTATTCCATAGCCTATTAAACTGCGAGGTGACGTTCGGCTGAATGTAGAGGAAAAGAAGACCCGCTCGGCCCGTGAAGGTGACAGGCGGGACATCCGCCCCAGAGGCCCGGGGGGACCACGCGACAGGGTAGGCGGGTCAAGGGGACCGCCCGCCCGTGGAGGCATGGCTCAAAAACCCAGTTTTGGAGCCGGTCGAGGCACAGGACCCAGCGAGGGGCGTTACGCAGGAGCACGTCAGTGAGGCAGCTCCCACGTCATTCACTGCTGATGCAAGTCACCCTGGTTAACACAGACGGCTTCCCTGTTCCCCTGTCTCCATCCCTCACTCCAGGACCCAGGAGTGTGATTATTCTTCTTTATCTGGACTCTTCCTTTTATTTCTGAGATTGAACTTGAATTTGTTGTAGAAAAACAAAACTACTTGAATTGGGGAAAGGAGAAACCTAGCATTTGGTTTTAGCGTTCTCTCCCTGTTTCTTAAAGGAACGTGTTTTTACTGCTTGGGCAATCCTGTGTATTGCTAGCACCCGCTTTCAGGTCAAGTGCAAGTATGGTTTTATTTGGAATTGTTGCCAAGTCAAATCATGGTTGTGTGTGAATGACTATCTAGCATGTAAAGAATCCTGTTTGCCTTCTACTGTTGCACTTCATCAAGAATGACAACATATTTTAACAACTCTGTTGAGAGAACAAAATAAACTCTATGTACTATTTTGAAGCATGGGTGTCTTGTCTGGGGGAAGAAATTCATTTTAAACTACGCTAGACATTTTAAATGGTGTTAAAAAATTTTTTTATTAGATTTGTGTTTCTAAGAGCAATCCCAAGTATTGTGTGCCCACATATGCAGAATATTTCTTTGGTTAAAATTGCTCTTTGTAAAGTTGATTTTAAAATGCTTATGCAGCAGTAATGAATGAATGATAAAGTCATGGAAATTGCAGGTGCTTTCAGTAGTTCAGTACTAACTAATGTTTTACACATTAAGAAATAAATTGCTTTTGTAAAGGGTCATCTGGATATTGTCATATTGAAATCACGAGGCAAACGCGGTTTCATTGAATGCACTTCTGAAGAGACATTAGTAGCATTGTGTTTGGTAGTGCGACGAGCAAAAAAAACCACACATGCATATATATATATATACAGGTGCATCTCAATAAATTAGAATGTCGTGGAAAAGTTCATTTATTTCAGTAATTCAACTCAAATTGTGAAACTCGTGTATTAAATAAATTCAATGCACACAGACTGAAGTAGTTTAAGTCTTTGGTTCTTTTAATTGTGATGATTTTGGCTCACATTTAACAAAAACCCACCAATTCACTATCTCAACAAATTAGAATATGGTGCCATGCCAATCAGCTAATCAACTCAAAACACCTGCAAAGGTTTCCTGAGCCTTCAAAATGGTCTCTCAGTTTGGTTCACTAGGCTACACAATCATGGGGAAGACTGCTGATCTGACAGTTGTTCAGAAGACACTCCTTGACATCCTTCACAAGGAGGGTAAGCCACAAACATTCATTGCCAAAGAAGCTGGCTGTTCACAGAGAGCTGTATCCAAGCATGTTAACAAAGTTGAGTGGAAGGAAAAAGTGTGGAAGAAAAAATGCACAACCAACCGAGAGAACCACAGCCTTACAAGGATTGTCAAGCACAATCGATTCAAGAATTTGAGTGGAAAAATTTAAGGGGGTCTGAATACTTTCCGTACCCACTGTATATACACACACACATGCACTGTGCTTTTACTAGCGTAAACCATGGGAGAATCAACCTGTACAGTTAAAGGAGCTGAAAAGGTCTAGCCAGAATATGTGAAGACCAAAAAATTGCAAAGGAAGATTTGATGATGGAGAAAATGAGACGTGATGCCATAGTTGCTCCTATTTTTGTCGGACAGGTAAGGGAATGGAGTAAACCACTCTCCAAAACTAGTTTTAATTTACTGTGCTTAATCTACATATAATTTAATGTAGAAATCGATCTAACGTTACATATAAATTATTGGTCACTTTCTAAACAAAAGTGTAGCCGTCCACTAGTAATAAGTAAATCGGTTTTTACCGATGCAAATATGTTAGAAACGATGCATCGCGATACAAATGCCAACTTGTATCCGATGCACACCTTTTAAACCGATGCATCGCATCGCTTATTGTTTTTTGCCGATGCACCGAGCAAATCGGTGAATCTTCCCATCCCTAATAGACATCCATCAGCCACCAAAATGATTACATTTTGCAATATTGTGCCGCCACTCTCAACAAATATCAATATGTTATATTGTCCCAGCAGTGTTCTTTACAGATACCTTATCCTGTGGCACACGCCGGCCAATCATATTTCTATTTTCTGTGTGATTGCATTACTGAGATTACTGGGCCTAATTATGAATTCATGTGCTTGCATCAGACTAAACCCACAACTGTAGCACCTTATAAACTGGATTAACGGTGAGTATGATTAGCTGAAGCCCTGGTGTTGACCAGCAGCAGGTGGCCCAGCATTAGTATTCATGAGAAGGAAAGTGCAGCTTCTCTCCACCACTTTATTTTAAAGCCCCACACCCCACATGGGCTCAAGATGTCCTCATACAGCAGGCCAAAATCCACCAAACATATTTTTTTGTAATTAGTAGACAATAAATCCATTTATTTTCAATATTTATAAAATACATTGACATCAATCAACTAACTATCGTTAGGTAACTATCAGGTACTAACTGTTGCCTGCCTTGTTGGCTAAAGTTAGCTTGGTTAAAGACCTAGTAATTGTTCAAATTGTGTAACTGTTCAATAATTCAATGTATTTAAAAATATGTATATATATATATATATATATATATATATATATATACATATATATTAAATGTTCATATTATTTTTTACGAACAAATCTAAATGAACATATTTCAAATTATATTTTTTGCTGAGATTTGAGTAATCTCAATGTGTATTTTATGCAATGACAGAGTTTTGCGTCATGGTTACATAATGACATCATCGTCCAATGACGTCACAACGTCATTTAACAACTTTTAGCTACAAATCAAGCTGTGTTTAGCAACTTTACATGACAATTAGCTGGCAACACAGGCGAGCAGGGGCTGAGCAGTTGAGAGGGCGTAAAGCAAGCTCTCCTCAGAGCAGTTCTCGCGAGGGCGCATTTTTGTGCGCGGATAATGTTCTGTGCGTTCGCAGTATATATATATATATATATATATATATATTATACGAGTCTTCTGAAGCATTTGAGGAACAGACAGAAATTAGAGTCATTACTCAATGAGAATCTTTCATTTCTTTCCCGGCCCTTCCGGAGGTCTGTGCACCTACAACACTTGTGTTTTTTGCACTGATTGGTATTCAACTTGACGTATATAGGCTATTAAGTGAATGTAAACAGCTGAGAAACAAAAATCATGTAACAGTAGCTATATTAGATCCGTGCACAAGGTCTTAAAGAGACAGCAGCCTAAATAAATCTGCTGCTGTCTGTGTCATTACTCTTTATTTATACAGTGAAGAATATCCAGTGTTATTTTGCAGATGAATAGATTATTCAGTTTCTGTACCTGAATATTGCTGTTAGACCTACCTGAAAAACTCAAATAACTGTTAATTTCATTTGTATATATTTATTGTATTTGTTTGTGCTATTGCTAGTCATTTATTTATTTATTTGTTATTTTTTTATTACGGTTTACTTGTCTTTTTTGTTTAAATTCAATTCAAAGTTTGAAATCAGTTTCTTGCACTGTGTATATTGCACATCAAAATTAGCCCATATCACAATGTAGAGTTTACGTGCGTTCAATTTTTTTGTAGAATCTTCCTAACAATATAAATATGAATCAACACATAATTATAAATTGCAATTCACAGACGTTAACTGATGGATGTTTTTATCAGCTGTTTGGACTCATTCTGACGGCACCCATTCACTGCAGAGGATCCATTAGTGATGATTGTATTTGGTACTTTCAAGACACTTTTGTGACATTCTTGAAGCTGAAATGATTATATTCCCATGGAAAAGAGTGACCTTCACATTCTTCATTATGTATCCATTTGTGTTCCACAAAATACATTTATGCAAACTTGGATCAACATGATGGTGAGCAAATAATGACAGATTTCATTCCATTTTGACTGAACTATGCCTTTAAAAACATTTTACCCCCAGAGTTTTTATTTTATTGCAAAGTTGTTAATAAAACAAAATGCTCAAAATCCCTATTGCTAATTTCTCATATATTGAGGGAAAAAACATTCTGTCAAAGCCTTCATGTTTCACTGGCTTCAGGCCCTGCGGCGGTTTTCAGTGTCAGCTGTAATGTAATTCCAGTCCCACTGTAATGCGTCAGAGGGGTCGGGTGGTCTAGAAATGGGGGAGGGGGCTTTTCCAGACTACTCAAGCGAGGGGAAGAATTGACTGAGCCTTTGTGGTCCATAATCGACTTGCATAATTTAAAAGCCTGAGTGAGGATGGCCATAAGGCCGAGTATGGATGGATTTAAATGCAGCCATACGGGGCCTCTGGGAAATTTGTGCAAAGTGTACTTTCCAGTGCCTGCATCTGCTTAATTGACTTTCCTCTAAAACTGGTTGGCGTATATAAATCTCCAAACAAGCAAATTATTCAAACTAAGAATATTCATTTCAATATTCAACTTGACTTTGACTTTTAAATTTTAAAAGAGGGAGAAGTGTAATACAACCAGTTATTCCAGCTTGCTGTTATTGACCAAATACTTATTTTCCACCATAATTTGCACATAAATACTTAAAAAATCCTACAATGTGATTTTCTGGATTTTTTTTCTCATTTTGTCTCTCATAGTTGAGGTATACCTGTGATGAAAATTACAGGCCTCTCTCATCTTTTTAAGTGGGAGAACTTGCACAATTGGTGGCTGACTAAATACTTTTTTCCCCCACTGTATATATATATATTGTCATATATTATGAGTAGCAAAAGCAGTAACATAACTGTAAAAACTATAAAATATTGTGAAGAATTTCACCACACTTTTTCGTCATTACAGCAACCCTGTCGTTTTTTACATGTATTCCCCACAGAAGTATAAAAAATAATTTTAATTCAGAAGTTGAAAACATGTTCATCATAGAAGAGGTATATTCAAGTCATTGTAGGTATGGAATGTTTTTCTTGGAAAAAATGAAATTTAAGAAACACACAGAACACGTCATTGAAACATAGGTCATGGTGATTCTCAGTCCAGCTCACACAAACGTCACAATCCTCACAAACCCTTCAGATGCTTTAGTTCAGAAAACCTTTAATAGTAGAATTAGATTTAGCATTAGGACATATTTCAATAAATATCGTGTTATATACAGATATAGCAGAAATGGTACATTCCTTTTTTCTTCAAATTGCTCACATTTCTGTACAAGCCAAAAATATCTGCCATTTAATTTTATTCATGCAAAAATTCCATGTTTTAGTATTGGAACCTAAAAATAAGAATTTGCTGTTCTTTTCACTGCTTGGAAGTGCACTCGGATTATGACGAGAAGCGAATGAAGAGATGCACTTTGTGCCAATACACAATAGAAGCAAAAAATTAAGGCCATACCAACTTGTGCAAAAATAAAATTTTACCCACAGTTTTGCGTACAAGTTACATATGATCGCCATGTCCGTCGTCACTCAGAGATCAACATTTCCTGGGCAGTTGCAATAAAATCCAATGTGGCATTAGTCAAAATAAAAGAATAAATGAATGCTAAAGAAAAAAAAATCATGCCTCAAATTAAGAACGTTAAATTGATATTTTCATGATTATTAAGCCAAAGAACAAATCGTATTTGCATATAGCACATATTTCACATCACATTGTCCTTGTGTTCCCGAGCCAGTATTATTATTTGTTATAAGTTGTCTTGTATATTGCATTTAGCATGTGGAGTGTGTGAGGGCCCGGGGCGTCACTGCTGTCATTTACACACACAGCAACATCGTGAATAGCCTTAAGCAGGGTTCATTAACAAAGAAATCGGTCATTAACAGCAACATGAAGCTGAACCTATTTCTACAAATGTTCTCTAAATGTGTTTTTGACTGCATATTTGAGTCGAGAATGAGCACATCAAATGTATAAAGCAGCTTTATCTCTTTCCACACTGTACACTGTGATGTATATTATACATCGTGTGCCTCTATCAGTCTCACAGATGAAGTGTAACCTGCTGGAAGAATGACTAGTTTGGTGACTATTTGAAACAACGATGATTAATATTGTTTGTAATGTTACAAATCCGGTCGTGAACACTCCTTTCAGCACAATTCATCATGTGTGACATTCAAATGATGTGTGAAATGTGCTCTTGCTACATTGTGCTGCCTGTGGAGGTAAGCGTGTGGATAGCGTTTCACATTACAATGTTCTTCCTCCTCGAGTAGAATTCAGGTTCTGCTTAATGTATCATACAGCGAGGTCGAATATATCGTGTAAAATCCAGTGTCTTCATTGGTGAGGTGTAAACCAGCTTTCACAGCACTGTAATCACAAGCCAGTTCATTTGAGGGAGAAGATTTGACATTAATAATCAAAAATAGCCCTTCAAATTTACCATGGTGCCTGGTCATTTCGATGAAATTTTAATTAAATTAATAAATAATTTATTTTGTAAAATTATATATATATAATAAAAAAATTAATAAATAACTATTTAATAAATAAAATGTGCCATCAATAAACTATTAACTTCAAGCTTCACTCTTAACCAAAATTATACACGTACATCAAAACATTATGATACCATTATTTAGATCTAAATGAAAAAGTTTGTAAATGTCTGACTAGTTGCAGTGTATAAAGACATACGCTTGTAGGTAAATACATGTGTGAAAAACTGAATAAATTACAAATGTTACAGGCCTTACAAAATTGGTCAATGTCCACGTCACATCAAACAGGATGAAATGAAGACAAAAAATGAAAACCTGAAAGGCAATGACAATAGAGTAACAAAACTGCTCTTTGGTTTTAAACAAACAACATACACACACACAAAAGTATGTTACGCATGGCAAAATATTGCATATCCTGCACAGAGCATCTATCACACAGCCTGACACATGCTCACTTTATATAATGGTGTTTCTCTTCAGTTCGGCAGTCAAACAAAACATTACAAAAGTGAAAAATGACATCTATATCATCTGCGCCACAAAAAACAAACAAACAAAAAAAACCTAGCCATGCATAGACAGCAAATGAGCATGACTGTAAGAGAAAATTGAACATGTATGAAATAGCCTTTTTTGGGGGGCCTCCAGAATAAAATGGCCATATTCAACATGATGAACATTGAAAATAATTGCATATACGATTATTGCATAGAGAAGCCAGATGAAAATGCATCCTAAATTTCATAAACTAAACCTTTGTGCACTTGTTTATTCTGTTGCACAATGCAGTGTTCATACATATGGATTGAAAAATCACTGTAATATACATTTGGTTGGAAATATAGATCTATTATCATGGCACTGGCTGTACTGCTAAACCACGCTTAGAAAAATAACACTGTATGAAATATGAGTTATGAAAGATCCCTTTGCTTTTCTTCCTGTCCATGATGAAAATGCCAAAACCAAAGATATGCAGAGAGTTAAAAGTATATTTTATTTTACATATATTTATATTTATTTTTCACACCCCCATGTATTTTAGCTTTAGTTTATTTAGGTTATATATCAAAAGGTGAATGCATGAATAAATAAATGGAATTGTGGAGTCATTTTTTTGGTCAACCTAAAGGATGACGTTTGGCACATGAGCAGAACATAATCTGATGTTTTAAACCAAAAGAAACCTGAAAATGAGCACAGATAGAGGAACACATTGACCACAGCTCGAATAAATATATTTGTTTCACTGGCACTCATCAAGATCCATTAATAATCGATAACAGAATGAAACATCATGAGACCACAGGACACATGTACCAAAGCGCATCTCGGTCTCTGGGACCTGCAACATTTTCATTGTGTATTCATGGAAGCCCCAAACTGCCTCGAGACGCCCCAAAATTTTTCATTTTCAATGGCTGAAGTATTATCATTTAAATATATGATATATTACAGCAGTAATGTTTTTCCATATTCTCGCAATGCAGTACGTCTTCAAGTTGCCAAAAAAGTTTTACACGTTTTCCTCTTGGATTCCCAGTCATCAGTTTAGAAGTTCTTATGTTGAATATTTACTTTTAGTCATTTTAATTTTTTTTAGTAAATATATTGCCACATTCATATATCATGCATTTTACTGCATTGCTATTGCACAGGTCCGGATTATTCAGGAGGACAGGAAAGAAAGAGACGAAAAAAAGGAATAAATACCTCTGCTGGGGACTCGAGTGAGAGGGCTGCAGTGAGAGAAAGGCGGGCACGGTGGGACGTGGGGAGGGGCATGGAGGAGGGTGTATTTGCATCTCTTTACTGCTTGTGAACATCCTCGCTGCGTATGATCTTGTAAATGATCCAGTAAAAAATGTTAAAAATGAGGAAGACCAGTGGAAAGGCTACGCGTGACACCGTGTCGATTCGTTTGGCGCGGCTGATGAAGAGCTTGCGCATTTCCTCCACGCTCTTCTCAGGGGGGTTGGCGGAGCTGGGCGCGTTGTTGTTGTTGCCCTTGATGGCCATGCCGTCTTTGGCCTGGAGGCACGCAGGACCCATGCCATAGGCGGCGAAGCTGAATCGGCCGTCTCCCGTCTCGTCCTCCTGTCAAACGGTCAAGAAACCCATTATTCACACACTCCACCTTAATGCACCGTTATTAAAGCAACTGTAGTTTCTTTACCTTAAAATATCAGTTTCAAATAATTAAAAATCATTCTGATGATACACTGATGTTTTAATAAGGCAAATGGCTTCTGCTTCTTTCCCAGTTGATAAAGTAAATAAAGTTGTGGACAGGCACAAGTCAGACAAAAAAAATGCAAAGGCTTTATCAATACCTAGAAGCACAGTGAAATCTATTATTAAGAAGTGGAAGGTATTTGGTAAAACACAGACATTCTCTGGACCAGGACGTCACTCCAAACTGGATGAAAGAGTCAGGAGGAAACTGGTCAGAGAGGTGACCAAGTGGCCGACAGCAACTCTGAAGCAGTTGCAGGAATTCATGACACAGAGTGGTCATTGTGTGCGTGTAACAACAATATCACAAATTCTCCACAAATCTGGCTTGTATGGAGGGTTGCAAGAATAAAGCCACTCTTCAAGAAAGGCCACATGCAGTCATGACTGAGCTTTGCCAAAACGCACCTTGAAGATTCTGAGGCAGATGAGACTAAAATTTAATTATTTGACCTCAACACCAAACAGTATGTCTGGCAGAAATCCAATCCAGCTCACCATCCAAATAACATGGAGGTGGTAATATCCTGTTATGAGGTGTTTCTCTGGAGCACTTGTCAGGATAGAAGGAAAAATGGCTCTAAGGGTGCTTTCACACCTGTAGATCGATTGCTTTGTTCCGGCACAGGGATTAAAATTATTACAATGTTGCTTTTTATTTTTGGTGCGGTTCGTTTTCACACGGCAAAGTTTCTAAACAGACCAAATTTGTTAATACAAGTCACGCGCGAGTAAACTGTTCTCTCATTGGTCAAAGTTCCACGGTTTATTTTCTGGGATTCCACCGCTGTCATCCGTCAGGATGGAACGACAACAGCTTTGCGGGCTTATTGTTGTTGTTTTTTTTTATAGCTGTCGTTATATTAATTTATCATTTTGAGCAGGAGTCCAGGATTCATCGGGAAAACATTTTTTAAAATGCACCTACTAGGAAGAAGAGCAATAAGACGGCATTATAAAATTAAAAAGTGCGTTTGATTTTGATTGACGAAGACATGCTCACCCACAGACATTCACAGGTTAATTTTTAGGTATTAAAAATTATTAAGTATTAGCAAAACAACAAAGCTAATGCTTTTCACGGAACTTACGTAATTACCCATTATACATTGTGATATAGCCTGGTTCGTTGGTCCGTTAGATCGGATTGCTTTCTCACTACAAACGAACAACTCCAGAGTTCGTTTTCAATCGAGCCGTGACCACCTAGTTCAGGCGATCTCGGACCGATTGTTTTGGCACGGATCTGAGCACGATTGCCGTGTTCACATATGCCCAAATGAACCGAGGTAAGGGGGGAAACGCGCCAGGTTCCCAAACAGCGGGCCAGGTGTGAAAGCACCCTAAGGCTACGTTTACACGACAACAATGTAGTCAAAAACGGAAACGTTTTTCCCTTGGGTTTTAAAAAAAAAGTTTCACGTATACACGACAACGTTTTCAAAATGATTCGTGTTTACACATATCCGCAAAAACGGCCCAAAACGGCATATTACGTATGCAAGGCCAGTAGTTGGCGCTGTCACTTTGTTAGTAAACAGTACCTGTAGGGAAGTGGTTGTAATATTGAAATGTGAGCCAAAATCATCACAATTAAAAGAACCAAAGACTTAAACTACTTCATTCTGTGTGCATTGAATTTATTTAATACACGAGTTTCACAATTTGAGTTGAATTACTGAAATAAATGAACTTTTCCACGACATTCAAATTTATTGAGATGCGCCTGTAAATCCACACTTTGCTGAAGAAGCGTTAGCAAACTCTTGAGCAACAACAACAGTACTATGTACTCCGGAAACGATAACAGTGGCGTTTTCAAAAACTTTTGAACACTTTGAAATCCGTTTTCAAAAATATGCGTGTTCAGTCCCCAAAACGCCGTTGTCGTGTAAACAAACAGGCAAGATGCATAAAAAGTTTCCAGTTTTTGGCTGAAAACGTTGTCGTGTAAACGGCCCCTAAATTTCAGAGTACCACTCCGGTCAAACAATCTCGGGTACAGGCCGGGTTCGGGCTTCAGTTTAAAGCCTGTTCAGACCTCTAGCTCCAACACACTTGCCTGGAAGTTTCTCGTGAGTCTGAAGACATGATAACTTTAGCTCAGGTGTGTTTAATTGGAGTTGGCGCTAAACTCTGCAGGACAGTGGCCCTCCTGTAAAAGGTTTGGACACCGCTGCTATAAATCATCGTTTCAGGTTAACAGTCATACATGGGTTCATTAGTTTACACTTGACAAAAACATCAGCATATCGTGAACCGTGACGGAAGCGCATTGTTTATAGCTAAAGAAGTTTTAAACATTTATTTTTCTCACACACACCTATCACTTTTTTTCATATGGATTACCATCATTTTGTGTGGTTTTTGAGGCATCGACTTTTGGGCTACCGTCCATGGATTTTTCTAAAACAAAAATAAAAATTCTTGATTTATGTTCATCTGAAGAAAGAAACTCATATATATCTGGGATGACGTGAGGGTGAGAGAATTTCAATTTTGGGGTGGAGTATCCCTTTAAATCCTCCAGTCTTGTTGGATGGATTACATGTTTGTGTGGGTATTAACTATTGAAATATGTCTGCTAGACGGCACAGGGTGTAAGTCAGAGGTCACAATATCTCACGCAAGTTAATGGACTGCCCTTGCCCTGCTCCCCACCTCCACATGCTCTTATTTGAGATTCAGCAGATGGACTCGATCGTACACTTTAATGAAAACAGAACCAAAATAACCACCCCGGTTAATTACATTTCAGTGCGGGTAGATATTTCACCGTGGTTGTGCCAGTTTAAACACAAAACGCGGATGCGAAATAGGATCATTATGTTCGTAATGCATATTTCCAATTTGCAGGTGCAAACATCTAGCACGGGGAACTATCCCATTCGCTTTTACTGAAAGATCAGCCATTTTCAATGCAGGACTCCATTTTTAGACAATTTGTCCTCCTTCTGTCCTTGTCTTTCAGCCTTCCCATTTATAACTGTTAATGTGTGTCGGGGTAAATGGAAGATCACACGAGGATGTGTGTGTGTGTGTGTGAGGGGTGATGTTATTCCACTGCCCCTTTGTTTTTGTATACGACACTATCTTTGATGCCGGGGTGCTACGTCCTTTCCATGTCCTTCAGTTGCACTGGCTCACCATTTGTAAGTATTACGGATGCTCGGCTTTATTTCTGCTGCCATTTGATTAATGTGGTGGCTCCGAGACGTGACGTGGAGCTGTAAAGAGGAGCCGGGCTGCAGCACCGCTGCGTCCTGCGTCACTTTCCCTCCCGGCCCGGCCCCTGCCAGATTCATTACCCTCCCTTCCTAATTAAAAATCCGCCATTACTGCATTAGGCGTGCCAGCCGCGTTCCCAGTTCGACTGTTAAAGGGGAGGGGAAAAAAACAATAAGCAGAACGCTCGCCTGCATCCTTGAGGTTTACAGCGGAGTGTAATATTATGGCTGCACATCAGAATGCAGCTCACAGCCTCGTTTGCAAATCAGGGGTGTGGCTTCCACCGCTATATACAGGACCTCTCGGCTCCTTCATCAATCAAAGCCCGTAGATGTGACTGATGTTTTGATGCCTTTTATTGGGATGTTGTGATAAACGATAGAAAGCGAAATAGCAGTAAGGTAGCAGCCTCAAGCCTTTATCGTATATATATTCAAAATATTTAGCATCAGATGTACGGGACAGTGATGATTTTATACAAAGCATATATTAAAGTGAAAGTCACCTCTATCGTACATGTTGAGACCAGGATGATGTACTGCATTTATCTGTGTAGGACATTACAATGCACTGCAATTACATATGTCTGTTGTTTTATCACCTATGGGTGAGTTGGAATGAATATTTTACGAGCTGCGTATGAAACTGCATTATGCTGATGTGCCCAATGGTTATGAGTCTTAAATGAATATATGTTTACAAAAATTTGATTATTCGCCAATAAACATCTGTGCCCTCATAAATGCAGGGAATTTAAATGAGAAGCAGACAAATAGCATTTGCTCGGTGTATATCATGCAAGCATATTATGCCTTTCAGGTTTCTTTAATGGCCAGAATCATTTTCAGCCCTGTTTCAGAACAGTCACTGACATCAGCTGCATCGGGTCCAACCACATCTAAAAATCTCTATTCCTGTCGCCCTGTGCAGTGACCTCCAGAGTATAATGAGAACTGCTGGCTCGAGAGCGACATTTCAGACCAAGCATTGATTCTAAATATGCTTACTAAACGAACACTTCCCTTTTTTCAATAATAGCGCTACTTATTTAGCCTTGTGCATTTTCTTATAACAAAGAATTGGCAAAAAAAAAAAAAAAAAAATTGCCCATGCAAAAGTTACTACCCCCAATAGAGGTCGCTACAGAAATGTGTCCTAAAATCCAAAATCAATGGGTTTTTTGAATGGGTTTTTGGTTAAATGCCTGAAATAAGGTCTGTGGTTAACACAAGCTCAAGATATTCCATGTTTTCTTCTACCACATAAAATACATCAATAATATTCCATAAGATTTTTTACGTTTTTACGTGTCTTGAATAAGTTGGTTGCCAATGATTGGCTAAATGGGACTGCAGAGGTTGTCAGGTTTTTTTACATCATTACGCTGAACAGCTAAACTCATCTACACACTAGTCTTTACAGCCTCATTAATGATCGCACTCTTGCTAATTATTCTAGCTCAAACTTTCAAATTTGTAGATTATAAATAAAGACTGAAAGAGTTGTGTGAAGCTTAGTAATGGTGACGTTGAAGCCATGTGATCGTCGTGTAGTTTGTTTATAGCCTAACTTTAGGTTAAGGCTTGAAAACTCATAAAAGTTGTGTTCAATTGTGAAGATTATCTAATTATGAA